ATATCCCGTCTTTACCCGGTGAGCTATGCTGGGGATTGAGAATGTCTGGAGCAGATATTCTTATGAGATGCCTCTTGGTGGGTATGTTGTGTATACCTTAAAATGTAAATACTTTAAAAACCGACGATGAACATTTTCAATTTCATTGTATAATGTATTTCAAGTACATATAATGCGGATACCATACAATAGCAGCATATTCTAGTTTACATCTAACAAACGAATAATAAAGTCATTTTATTACAGCTTCATCATTGATACTGCCACTGTTTCTCATAATGAAACTGAGAAGTTTGATGGCCTCTGATATTAGGGTTTGAATATGCTCTGAAAATGATAATTTCAAATACAACACCTAAGTCGTTAACATGCGATGTACGTGACAATGAAACATTATCGATGCTATATTTGTATTCTATAATTTGTTTCGCTAAGCTATATGATAAGGTGTAACATTTTTCCAAATTTAAAGAAATTGCTTTTGCATCAAATAAAATTTTTATCTAGGTCAGACTGAAGTTCTATACAATCTTGGTAGCAGGTAATCCGACGATACAATTTCAGGTCATCTGCATATAGAAGAGCCGAAGATTTAATGTCCTTCACTATGTCATTAATGAAGATATTGAAGATGAGTGGACCAAGAACCGAGCTTTGAGGAACACCCAAAGTGGCTATAAAAGGTAGAGAACGAAAGCCACGGCATTCAACAAAGCAACTGCGAGCCGAAATATAGCTGCAGATAATGGAGCACATATTGTCCTATAAATCAGAATTCAAAAGTTTAGTTTGTAGGATTTTTAACATAACTTACATTATCTTACATCACCTGATATATAGATGTTCTTGCATTATTGGTTGTGAAGGATTTCTCTTTTTAAACATGTTAGTCATTGTTTTAGCTGTAAAGAAATTGTCAGCTGCTTTTTGGCTGCTTTATTTCGGTAGTAAAAGTTTTGGAGGAAAATAATTGCTTGCAACTCTTGAAAATAATGTTTAGATTATTTATTATTAACATGTGAAAAAGGTTTACTGCTATTAATATTTATTTTGGGAAGATGTGGTTGCTTGTTCCATTCCATTAATGTTTTAACATCTCCTTTTTTATATTTTCCTGTTGGGCATATTGAGACTCAAGGTCAATAGTTCCAAGTGCTATTTGATTTTGACAACCGCAACTTGAGGGGGCTTTGATACCGATTTTAACAGCATTACAAGTGACCCTCATACTCGTATTTATGCTAAAATTTCACCTTCGATATAATTGTTGATCAAAGGACGAGAAAAATTGCTGCGACATATTTTAGTTTAATTATATTTAATGAACTTATCGTCATTGTTTTAATTTAATCAACTGTGGTACCTATCTCAAAAAGTTGTGTTTTATGGTTACTGCGTTGTATATTATGTGCACTGTGCAGTGTCTCAATGAAAATCTTCGATAACTTATTTCTATGACGGGTTAACTTTATGGAGAAACAGAAAACGATTTGGGTGATGATTTGGCGCTATTCACCACTATTTTTTTTAATGAAACTACGTATACGCATAATACGTTGTTGAAAGTTGTGGAAGTGCGATTAAAAATACTTTGGTTCTTCAAAGAAGGTATTAATACAGGTAAATTACCAAAACAGAATCTAAAAAAAATAATAAATTACAACTGAATTTAGCAATATTGACAATTAATTAAAGACATAAACAAAATGATTAAATGTAATCTGAATATTATTTTTTAATTTATTCTTTAACTTGTTGCGTTGTTTAATGCAAATATTATCATAATTGCAACAATTATTTTAGATTTGCTTTTAGACGATGTAGTGTTGAAAACATTAACTTTCAAACTTTGTTCATTAAAATATCACTGCAATCATGTTTGTCTCTTCCAAATGAGACATTACACTGAAAATCAGACGGTGGCCGTAGTTCCAAAATGATTAACTTTGTAAAATGAATCAAAATTTGGGTGATGTATTTAAATAAAATTGAATTAGGTTTTTTTTAAGTTCTTGAAAAACGTTTACTTTCTTAGTTATATTATACGCGTGTAATACCAATTGTATATATACTAATTTCCATAAAAATCCGAACACGTTGAATTAGTTGACTGATAAAACTGAAGTTTCACCAAATATGCATTAGATGGTAGAGTGCAGTCAGTACGATATCGTAACTTCTATTCAGAAATGTATTCGCCGACATCTGGAGTTCCTCAGAGGTCTAATTTGGGACCACTTTTGTTCTTATTGTTTATTAACGACATTGTTGAACATACTCGTATATCTTCTGAAAAGTTGTTATTTGCAGATGACTTGAAATTGTTTTTTGAAATTAACACAACTGATGATTGTAGGATTCTTCAAACCAACATTAATACTGTAGTTGAGTGGTGCAACACTAATCGTTTACCAATAAATAAAAAGAAATGTTTTGTAGTTTTGTATACTAAAAAATAGGAACCTATTATTATCTTCAATTATAATATCGATGCAGTTATCCTAAATCGTGGAGAAAAGTATAAAGACCTTGGAATCACCTTTGACAGTAGGCTAATGTTTAATGATCATATGACAGAAATAGTGTCAAAAGCTGACAGGATGTATGGTTTCATTTACAGAAACTGTAATGATTTTCTCAACATCTCTACTCTTTGCAATCTGTAGTACTCATTAGTTAGATCTCAACTTGAATAGGGAGTACTAATATGATTTCCAAGTCACGAAATCCATATAAAAAATATAGAATCCGTCTTGAAATTTTTGTCATATCTTTCATCTGGAGTATATCCTGACAGAGGGTGTGATCACTTACAGCTGTTAAATCAATTCAACTTTGTTTCCTTAGAAATTAGGCGTATTATTCATACAATCAGCTTTTTACATAAGTTATTATTATTATTATTATTATTATTGAAAACGTTGGGCAGAGGCAGAGCCTATTATGCCCATCCGCCGAAAACAATTTTCCAGCAACTACAATTTATTACTGCTTCTCACATAGGAAGAGTTCCGGTGTCAGATGGGTGTTAAGATGACTGGTACAAATATATACCCAGTTTGTTTTTAAAGGAAGCAGTTGTAGTTGCTTCAACGATTTCTACGGCTAAGCCGTTCCAGATCTGGAAGACTCGGTTGGTCAGAAAATTTTGACGCCATTTAGTTTTATAATTTTCATGGTATAATTTCAACGAGTGTCCCCGGAGACGGGAAATATCCGACAGAACAAAGATGTCGGCAAGGCTGAAACTAAATTTATTGGAGAGGATGTTATAAGTACAAACCAAATCATTGAAGAGACGCCGTTTTTCGAGGGTAGGGAGTTTCAGTGTCGAAAGTCTATCTTCATAAGATTTATTTCTGAGAGATTGGCCGTACTTAGAGAAACGACGCTGGACTTTCTCAATTAATTGCTTATCTTTTACTAGGGCAGGAGACCAGATTACACTCGCGTATTCTACGATAGGACGAATGTACGATACAAAAAGTGTTTTTAACAGAACTTCGTCCGGATTGGTAAACGTCTTTTGCAACAGATAACTTCTGACATTGGCTTTTTTTACAATGTGAACGGTATGCTCCGAAAAAGATAGCTCTTTGTCAAGTATGACACCTAAATCGTTGATCTGCTGAACGGATTCTAAAACATAGTTGTTCAGAGTGTATGCAATGTTGGGGTTGTTTTTACCCAAGCGAAGTACAAAACATTTTTGGAGATTTAGGGGCATTAACCATACGTGCGTCCAAGTATACATAGTATGAAGATCTTGTTGGATGATTCGTGAAGATGAAAAAGAATTACCGTATATCCGACCATCGTCAGCGTAAAAAGCGTGATGTGAGTTGAGTGAAGTTAGCAGGTCAGATATATAAACAAGAAACAATACAGGGCCCAAGACCGATCCTTGCGGCACACCAGACAGTACGTCTTTTTTATTTGAAAAAGCTGAGCCTACTTTTACTTTAAAATTGCGACCACAAAGGAATGCTTTAATCCATTGCAATAGGAGCCCACGAATTCCGCTGTTTTCAAGTTTGTGTATAAGACGACGATGGGGAACTCTATCGAAAGCTTTTGCGAAATCTAAATAAATTATATCAACTGGAATATTTTTTTCTAAAGACAACGTCCATTCATTAAGACATTGAAGTAGGCAAGTGACAGTGGACCTTTTAGGCAAGAAGCCATGTTGATTTAATGTAATAATGTCGTGATCATATAAAAATCGGAGAAGATGCCTCCAAATTATTCGTTCCATAACTTTACAACGGGTTGATGTCAGACTAATGGGTCGATAATTCTCCGCCATTGTTTTATCACCTTTTTTGTACACCGGTGTAATATGGGCTTGAAGCCATACTGGTGGAAGTTTTGATGTTTGAAATGAACGCTCCATAATATGTGATAGCGGACGAGCTAGATTACTACTACATCGCCTGAGAACATGTTTAGTTAATAACAAAATAGACTGTATTCTCTTAGATAAAATTCATTTCATTGTACCTCGTGTTCATTCTCGACAGTTTTTAACATTTTACTCATTAGCAGCCAGAACAAATGTGTTACGTAGATCACCTATAATTCTCATGTGTGAACTATTTAATCATATATCTAAATTTTGCGACATAAATGCTGATAGTTTAGGTACTGTTATTCAAACCATTTATAAAGTCTACTGTAATAAATAATTTACTTTGTTTTTTGCTTCGATCGTAATATTGTAGTTGAACCATGAATTAAAAGTTGCGTTTTTGGCTTAAGTTTTCACTTGTGACTTATTTTTACTTAATTTTATTTGAGTTAATATTTTATACATATATACAGTTGCCGCTGTATATATATTTTTTTCTATTCCTTTTTCTTTGTATTTACTGCACTACTTCATAATTATTGTTAATTTTTTTCCCTGTAACTGGGTGTATTATTACCTATTTGAAATAAAGTATTATTATTATTATTATTATTAAAATAACAGGCCTAAAACTTGTGAAATAAAAAATTTATTCAGTAATGTGTGGGTCCACTTTGATTTCTAATGCACTCGCCGAGGAATGTTTGAAAGAAGATGGTTTTTGGTGTCCTGTGGGATCTCGTCTCAAACTTCCTGAAGCCGCATACGAAGGTCATTTAAATTATTCGGGGGATGCTGCAAGTTACCTAGACATGTGCCCATGATATCCGACACATGTGCGATTGGTGACAAACCTGGTGAACGAGCAGGCCAGGGGAGAACAGAAACAAAATTCAAACCATATATTGACAATTACGCTGAGTTACATAGAAAAGTATTATTTACTAAGCTCTAAACATATCGAATTACATTTTTATCCAGGTTTTTGATGCGTTTTGTATATTTATTTTTTCTAGAAAATACAAAACCAACAGCTCTGAAATCTTGTTAACGCTTTAGGGTTCTCATAATCATGATAAATAGCTAATCATAATCTATCTGTTTAACCCCTCCAAAAACTTGATCATCTTAAATTTTAACTAAAACCTGTCTAAAATGTGCAAAATATTAGTCTTTTATATTTGTGATTTCAGTTCATCCATAATTTGAACCTTATCTGCGCAGGTAAAGAAGCATGCTATGCGTTTGTTTCAATTGAGTGTTTCCATTACACCATTTTGTGACAACATCATCAACATTTAAGTAAGGACACGTATATCAATGGAAATATATGCAATGTAGGTAACACTAATAATAACGATATTGTATTCCCAGATTTTCAAGAAAATGGATGGATTCGTTCTTGAATCTTGATTTAATCAATAAAATAACGAAACAACTTAATAACGTCTGCTATCTGTAATAGCAGAGGGGCAACTGAACTGAAAAGGATTTGTAAGTACTCATAATTTAAGATAAATTACGTAACGCTTGTCGAGACTGTACACGTAGAGTGAAGTGTTTATGTCTGTACATCGGAAGAATGTCATGTAGAAATTAGCTTGATATAAATGAGTTTTTTGTCGCCTTAAAAAAAAACATACAATTAAAATTATTAATTATTATTTTTTCGTCGTTAATTATGCCCTTAATACATAAATATTGTCTAAGGAACTGAACTTGTATGACTGAGTTTCAAGGCAGAAGTAGTTCTTTATAAATAAATGTTTTCAAAATAGTCAGTTCGAATGTATATATTTCATCATATTAAAAAAATAGCCAAGTTCGGTAGTTTAGTTTATTATTTTATTACTGATATAAGTAGTTGAACATCAAGAATCTTTTTATTAAACGAACGAAATTCCATTAGTGTTCTTAACAGTTTCTAATTTTGTTTATCTGACTTGTAAAAGTCATACAGTCATTTAACACAACAATTATACATCATTAAACTATTATTAACAAGTAATAAGTAGTTACAATAAAAACAGTAGCTAAGGATACCATCTCTGTAAAGAAAAAAAAATGAGGCAATGAGCTGAATGTCTAATAATTATATGTTAATTATTAATATTGTAAAATAACGTGCTACTTAAAGCATATAATAAGACTTTTAACCATTATTAAAATAAACAGTCTATGTGTATTTCATTTCATTTTTTTGCATAATTATCAGCAAAAGTACCTGTGTTACGACACTGACTAAATAAAAACAGGAATCAGTAACATTGCATGTTTTTTTTTTGAGGCCAGTAAAAGACATTAACAAAAATGTGACCTCAAGACGAGTCTTTCCATATTTTTAAAATTTGAAAGCTCTTTCTTGATTTTTTTTTTCCTTTATTCGTCAACATTTTAAAATTAGAGTGGGTTTATCTTACAAAAAAGTGCATACATATTTTTTCACACTTCTAGTTATAATGTTCATTTAGAAACAAACAAAATTAATCAATGTTAATTTTTTTAAAGCTACCATCGATGCCGTAAATATCATCCATTTCGAATTCTTTCAACCTTTTGCTTTCATCAACAATTAATGTTTCTTCCCAGTCAAAATAGTTACTGTGTTCGACTAATCTACTTTTTATGGTTTCTAAAATAAAAAAGAAATAATATAGTCAGTCATACGCGGATTGGGTTGAATGAAAACCGTGCAAAACAGAAACGGTTTCTTCTGCTCCACCATAATCTTTCGGTAAACATTCAAGAGGGACAAACTTCGTTAAACTTTCGAGAGTGTTGTGAACATGTAGCTGCAAAATATTCGTTATTACTAAAATTTATGCCACGTTATCATGAAATTTACGGAATTCAGTAACTCGTTTTTTAAAAACGGTTTTAACAAGGCCAAAAGTTTGTCCATAAATGGTGGAGGATTAAAAAAATGCATTCCTTTCAATCTTATGGGCATAGCTTCTTGTAAATAGTACGCGAATTTTTTGATAAGTATTGGATTGTGCTTTAACAAATGACCAAAACTTAATTCTTCACAGTCGGCTACCAGTAGAAAACCATTTGAGAGTCCCTCCTGGTATAAATGTAACATGCAAACCATATCTGCGTATTTGAGTTCTTCTAGAAAATTATAATTTTCGGAGTTATTTTCTAGAAATTTCATAAAAATGATTGCATAATTTTCTGGCGTTTTTCCAGGAAGGACAGTGACCAACCTGAAATTCCCAAAATTAAATATTTTTAGACGATGATGCAGTTTTTTATTTTACATGTGATTGATGATTTTTTGCATCGAAGCAGAAGACGGGTTTCTATTTTTAAACATGTCAGAATATCGGGTTCTTAAAGTGAAGAAAGTGTCAATAGTGGTTTTGGCAATTTCATTTCGATAATAGCAGCTGTGTAGGAACATAATTGCTTGTAGTTCTAAACATAGCATATAAGTTTTAATACGGTCGATACAGTATTTAATCGACCTACCAGTTAGGTTTGGAAAATGTGGTTGTTTACTTGCCCAATCTATCAGTGCCTTTACGTCATCTTTTTTCAAATCCTTGTCTTTAGTAAACTGAGATTCCACGTTCGCAAATATTAACGACATTTTAGGTATGAAAATATTACCAAGAATGACAATTTTTATAAAATTTATAATTCTTTTAATCACACCACTCACAAAGAATATGTTAATTCCTATTGGTTGAATGTGTTGGATCTGAATATTTATATATTTTTTAATGAAACCTTGAAGAAAATTGCCACAAGTCCAACTTGTGGTCACGATGAGCTTATTATTAATTATTATCATTTACCTACGCCGCGTTTTAAAAACTGTTCAGCTGGTTTTAAATTTCGACCTGTATCGGTAATTCTAAAAAATGTGAATGTATTTTTAAACCACCACTGCGGTTATACATTATTTTGTACATTTTAGATAGGATTTGTGATGAAATTTTTCAAGGAGGGAAACAGATAATTGTTGATTAACAATTTACCATGCTTGCCATAATCTTCAATTTACTATGCTTGCCATAATCTTAAAACATTAATAAGATTACAGAGCATTCGGGTGTGCAGTTAAATTGTAAGTTGTATAGGTATATTAAAAATTCTTATTTTTGCAAAACTATTGATATCTAAGGCAAACAATCAAGGTAGAAGTCATGACCCATGAAAGTCGAGGAGACATTAAATTAGCTCACGTTTGGTAAGTAAAAAGTTTAAAATAGGAGATTAGTTTTAAATATCATTTTATGATATGTTTCTTTATGTGTGATAGTGTAATAATCCACTCTGCTCTTAATTTTCTACAGTGAAATTTGTGACTTTAAAATTTTACAGAATTGATTGTTATTTTTGTACCTATTAAAATTTTATAATACTGTGACAGACGTTACTGGACGTCTAACATTTACAAAAAAGTCGGTACCGAATGGCTAGGTCATGATCAATCTTGAGAAATTTCACCAGAAAATTTCGTTTTTATGTTCAATTTAAACGTTCCCTAAAAGTGAAAAAGTTGTCAATTGTGGTTTTGGTTATTTCCTGCCGGTAGTAGCAGCTGGGAAGAAAAAGAATTGGTTGCAAATTCTAGTGGTAAAGACGTGAGTTAATGAAAAACATTACTTGTGAATATTCACAATTGATTTTAAGAAGACGTTGTTGGTAGTTATCCATTCCAACAAAGAGTTATTCTGTTTTTAAACACTTGTTTTTGTCATATAAAACTTTTAACGTTGATGAATGCAGAATTTATTTTTACTTCCCGAGCGTAAGCGAATTTTTATGTATTTGTTTACTGACGATTCCATGTATTGGCTACATTTTTTTTTACATAATTTTGTCACATTCCGATATTCTTCCTAAACAGATGCAAAAAAAATACTAACTAGGAAAAAAGGAGGCATAACAAATGTATGGTTATAAATCCGGATCTTCCTACAACTTTAGACGAAAATTGACCACAAAGACAAAGAAAGGATAAGGAAAATAATCTGAAGCATCCTATAGGTATAGAAATGTATAACTGACCCTCCAGCAGAGTAAAGTTTGAGCTGCCACTGGTGTAACGGACGTTACTGTGGGTTTAACATTTACAGAGAACTCGGTACTGACTGGCCAGTTCAGAATCAAACTTGAGAAATTGAATATCTAGCTCAAGTTTGATTTTTTGATTTTTTTAACCCGTTGGGTGGAGAAATCGTTAGCAAGAATGAGAAAAATCGTTAAAAATAACGTTATCAAATTCTTTATATCTACAACCGTCAGAATATTTAAATTATGCCCAGTCGGTTTCTTTTCCAGAGAAGGGGCGATTATGCCATAAGTGTGTCTATAGTCATTCATAATGCTCAGAACAATTTATAATAAATATTGTGATAACCAGTGGCGGCTCGTGATTCTAGAGGTTGGGGGGTCAAATAAGATTTAAAAAAGTTAATGCTAAGTTGCACTGCTTATAAAATGTTCCAACTACAGACTGCTACTGCAGCACAACAAAAGACAAAATCAATGCATGTGATAATTCCTGGAAATGCTGTTTTGCCAGTTCGTAATTATAACACAGTCGAACAATTTTAGAAAAATTTCTTGTTACAAGCATTCTGAAAATGTATTCTGAAAGGTTATTTTGTGCTGAATAACTATCTAATAAGACATTATGCCTACGTCGTTAAAACATTTTTTTTTTTGAGATTGTTCTTCATAAGTAGTTCCAGTTAAAGGTGTACTACTGCATAATGGGAATAAATATCTAGTACTGCCGATTGCATACTCCATACAAACTATGAGAATATTCAACACTTGTTAAACTGTATTAACGACAAAAAGTTTGAGTGCAATTTGATAGACGATTTAAAAATTGTAGCTTTAGTAACTGGATTCCAATCTGGATATACCAAGCATATGTGCTTCTTATGCAAGTGAAATACAAGAAAGAAAGCATTTCAACATCTGGAAACAATATTTCCTAAGCTTTCTGCTGCTAACATACACCAAGGTAAAAACTAAAATATTACAGTGAATTTCAGTTTTCATACAATATGTACGTTTTCTATATTTAGGAATTTTCATTGGACCTGAAATTCGAATGAAGGATCAAATGTTCTACGCCTATTTGAATGATACGGAAAAATTTACTTGGGAATCAATTAGCTTAGTGATCAGTGAATTTTTAGGAAACAAACGTTCCATAAATTATGTCTCATTTAAATTTTTTTGCTGATAATCTTTTCATCGAGAAATCAAGAAAGTCGAAGAAAGATTTAAGAGAAAGACCCAAGTATCCATTCTTTCCGAATACCTGAGGCTTTTATATAGAGTTAGATCCTTCTACATATTCTAAGCAGGTTATCTAATCGTAGACGTAATTAAATATCTGTCGACAGAAATCTGTGGAACAATTTTTTAGTGCTTCTTGCGCGTTTTTATGTAAAATTAGAATTCACTTAATTTTTCTAATTGTTCACCGGACGACAATAAAAATTTGAATATTTTTTTTTTGACGACGTGGGTATATTATCTCTTTTGAGAGTTGTTCAGCACAAAATTACCTTTCCGACCATGTTTAGAAAATATATGTAACAAAAACACTGTTCCACTGTGATAATTAATCGGTTAGTGGTGCTGGTATGAAATCGGAAGCGTGCGACAGTCTTGGGCCGTCGACACCATTGTAGGTATGCCGAGGATATTCTGTACCTTGTCTGATATGTTGAATCGCGCTAAAGCCTATCTCTGTCTTGCGTAAATGCAGTTCCCACATGTCCTATCACCCTATCAGCCTCCATAAGCGACTGTAGAGTCGAATCTGAAATCCGACTGCACGGAAACCTCGGTCTTTTTGCGGAGTTAACATATCGCGCTTGGACGTGGATCTACTCCTCGCTTAGGGTAAAAATCATCAAAAATAAATTATCAAATAATAAATGGAGTAATATGTAATAAAAAAATAATGTTTTTATTCGTAAAAATATTTGGGGGGGCATTGTCCCAACGACCTTATGGACAAGCCGCCACTGGTGATAACCCAAACATCCCGCCTTAAATTGACATGTGAAAAAAAAATTGAAAGCCCGGGAAAAACTTAAAAATTCAAAATTTGGCCTTGGCTGTGATGGTCTAACAAAATGGAACCCTACGTTTGAAAAAAATGGCGGGATGCGTTCAGATGCAAATGGTGTACCCCAAGGTTGGAAAATTACCCCTAAATAAAACACAAAATTTATGGAGGATACAAAATTATTTATTCCTCCACTGACAAAAAAAAGAAAAAAAAAGCTGCAAGTAAGTTGTGTCGGATGAGGAAACCCCTTAATGCTCAGCTCCAAAAAAAACTTTGAATGAATTTTAAATGAAATCAAATTAAACGTTCTAAATCAATGCAAATATTTCAATATCGCAAATTTAATAAGAACAAATAAAAATCTGAATTAAGTATTGGATTCAAATACACAAGTTATTACAGACGTGTGGCGGCAAATTTAAAATTATGCCAGTCAACAAGACCACAACGAAAATACTCATAGGGGCGTTCTAGCACAAGCGGAGTTTGGGGCTCCGGTCGTGGGTGTTCTCCCCCACGACGGTGATTCTATCTATCGCAAGCACTACCGCTCAGCACCCCTCTATCTAACGACGAGACGTACCGCGCTACCCAGGCCGTTTAGCGTTTCGAGGAAATGCCTTGGTGATGTAAATTTTAACGCTGCAAGGAAATGCCGCGGTGATGTAATCAATTTTTAATGTTGTGAGGAAATGCCTCGATGATGTAATCAATCTTTAACGTTGCGAGGAAATGCCTCGGTGATGTAATCTTTAACGATGATAACTGCCTAAGGGAAGAATTTATTTTAACCCCCCGCCAGTTCACGAAGTTATGAATTTTTGATAAATTAATTGCCGTTAATGCAATTAGCAATCTTGTGTGAAGAATTAAGAAGTGTTATAATGTAACACTTAACATTTGGATCCAGAAACTTATTCGTAATTAGACAAACAAAATCAAACGAGTCGTGACGTGAATTTCACAAAATCTCCTAGTAAATGTCTGCCTAAGCAAACCTAATGTCTGTTAAATTGTTTTACAACCAGTTAACGATTAAAATCCTAACCTGATCGATGAATTAACAAACAATAAAACAAATTTACATCACGTGTAGCGTTGGTCGAAAATTAGCACTGTGTCATCGTTACGATTAATCTTCGTTAAACAAAAGCTTCCTCCCTTTTATTAACTACCAAACCAACTAATTTAACGTAGCTAACAGTGTCCTTTCACCATGCACTCACACACACACCACCAAATCAACAATCCTCACGCTTTCACCATGCTCTCGCCATGCCGCTTTCTTGTCTACCAACCCCCTCTTACTAAAATCCCCTAGCGAGCTACCAACTATCAGGAAAAGAACTAAACATGCACATGGCCTAGGTGTCTCAAATTCAAATTATTGAAATGTGATTTCGCGCCGCTGTTAATTAAATTCAGCGCGAAAATTTGATTCAAATTCGGTCACCACAATATATTAATTAACATATTTAATATAAGATTTAATACATTTCACCAGCAAATTAATTTCTAGCACCAATTTCAACATTTTTTTTGGCAGGTATGAAGCAGTGGGTGGAGAAATCGTCAGAAAGAGAGAACAACTGTTAAAAGGTAAATATATCAGGGGAGGCTGGTATCAGGGGGCATAAGGGCACGTGCCCCCCCAAAATTACAACGTCTACAAACACACTGGATACATTCGTAGCAAAATAGTAATTTCAATATTTAAAAAAATATCCGAAAATTTGTGTCATAATTATCAAAACTATTTTTTTATCTCCTTCTATTTGTATAAAATGTAACAAAATTTACATCTACTTACATCTAAAGATGTTGTGCCTAGGATGTATGATATGTTTGTTTATTACTGATGAAGTACTGATAACAGCGGAGACGGAAACCAAATCATGCCTTATTTAGACGTTTTGTTTACACCGTTGCCATGGAAACCGTGCGTCTAGTCGCGGTATTGCGCTGGAATCGGGTCCTGTTCCGACAGTGCCCACCAGCAGTAACTCAATTGCGGGTTTTAATTTTCATTCTGTCCGAGTGAAATTGTTTGATTTTAAATAAAATAAATGAATTTGGTTGAATATTTAATAAAAAATTGTCCTCTGTGTCACAACGGTAAAATGTTAGTGAAAAATTTTAACGAGAGCCACTCCCGATTTATTAATAAAAAAAGGTGTTCATGGCAGAACGAGAGACTTTCATAGATATTTTAATAGACGTAACACGTATCTATACTTCTATACTTATATAATAAAGCTGAAGCTTTTGTTTATTTGAACACGCTATTCTCAGAAACTACTGGTTCAAATTCAAAAAATCTTTTTGTGTTGGATAGTCCATGTATGATATCTACATATGGGCTATATAACATCACGCTACGATCATTTGGAGCGAAGTAGCAATGAAAAATTCGGAAAAACGGGAAAATTATTCCTCCTTTGACAGCTTTCGTTGCTTACGCTGCTTAAACGGTTAAAGTTACGTAAAAATCATGTAGGACGAAATTGTTCCCCTCTAAAAGTTCTAAAGAAAAGTCCGCGACAACATATGTCTATCTTTGACGGTCGCCTCAGTATAACCTTTTTTATGGTAATAAATTTTGTTCTAAAATAATGCATAGTTTGTGAAGGTATTTTTTTATACATGATATTAATCCTTATCCAAATAAATACGTTATTCATCACAAGTATTTAATTTTGAACAAAATTGCCTTTTACATCATTTGATTTCAATGAATATCTTACGAGATATCATAGTTTTAAAATAACTCCCCAACAAAATTATGATCAAGTATGTGCACGGCGTGCGGGAGCTCATGAGCGGGGAGGGTGGGGGTCGGCAGCTCTGCGAGGTACCATGCCGTGCGGCTCAGATGCGTGGTCGGCTTTCCATAGAATCGATGTGTTTTGCGAACTGATTTTTAAAAATATTTTGCGATATCTCATCGTATATGATAATACTAACATTAAGAAAATGCCTAGAAAAAGAACTCAGCTTTCTCAGCAAACTGCTACAGCAAAACGGCTGCAACTTTTGCGCAGCAGTGAAACAGCGGATGAAAAAATGCATAGGTTAGCTACTCAACGAGGAATCAATCAACGAAACCTTGCTAGGGAATCAAGTGTTGAACGTTCTCAGCGTTTGGCCTCACAACATTCCCGCACTTTGGCAAGCCGTGCACGGGAATCAAGCGTGGAACGTTTGCACCGATTAGCTCAACAAAATGCACGATCAATAATTAATACAACTCGCAGGCGATATAATTTATTGAATTTTGCCTTTGCTTATGACTGTAACCTTGACTATTCTGTGCTAAATGACGTTGATATTGGTAGAATGAATAAAATATGCAACAAATGCCAAGCAAAGAAATGGAAGGATGAAGCTCCTGGGTTATGTTGTAGTGGTGGCAAAGTAGATATACCGAAAGTTCCCGAACCAACATGAGTTTTAAAAGAACTGATATCAGGCTCACATCCTTCCTCAAAACATTTCTTGAATGATTCAAGACAATATAACACACTTTTTCAGATGACTTCATTTGGTGCCAAAGAAATTCGAGAGGGGAACTTTATGCCCACATTTAAAGTACACGGGCAAGTTTATCATTTGATCGGTAATTTACTTCCAGCTGAAGGTGCACAACCAGAGTTTTTGCAAATATATTTTGTTTCTCATGCAGATCAGGTATCCTTGCGCTCAAATTTAAACCCGACCTTGCAAATCGATCTTATCGACGCTCTACAAAAATATCTTCACGATCATAACACGTATATCCAAAGTTTTAAATACAATCTCGAAAATAGACCAATAAGTGATTTAAAACTTATAATCCATGCTGATGTAAAACCTCCTAATGATCATCGAGGTCGGTATAATATGCCAATAGTAGACGAAGTAGCTGTTCTTTTGATAGATGAGGATACAGGTCCCCGAGATATTGTGTTGAATGCGAGAGATGGTCAACTGCAACGAGTTTCTGAGCTTCACAGATCTTATGATCCCCTTCAATATCCTTTACTGTTTCCGTATGGCAATGACGGGTACTGCATAAATATTCTACAACGGAATGGTGCTGCTAGATCTAAAACTGTATCATGTATGCAGTTTTATGCCTTTAGACTAATGGTGAGAATAGATGACTTTAACAGCTTACATTACTTCAAAGGATTATTCAACCAATATTGTGTTGATATGGCGGCAAAAATGATATCTGAGATACTTAGTTTTATCAAAAGAAATCAAAAAAAATTGAGAGCAGATGAATACATTCATTTAAGAGATGCCGTGACTAATGATGGCAATATAGATGCTTTTAATATTGGGCAGTATGTTATATTGCCATCGTCATTTACAGGATCTCCAAGATACATGAATGAAAAAAGTCAAGATGCCATGACATACGTCAGAAAGTTTGGAAGACCAGATCTCTTTATTACATGTACATGTAACCCCGAGTGGCCCGAAATAAAAAATGAGTTATTACCAGATCAAAAATCTTACGATAGACATGATTTGGTTTCCAGAGTATTCCATTTAAAACTAAAGAAAATGATAGACCTATTGACGAAGAAACATATCTTTGGACCAACTCAAGCCTTTGTTTATAGCGTAGAATGGCAAAAAAGAGGTTTACCTCACGTCCACATTTTATTATGGCTGGCAAATAAAATACAACCAGATTCTATAGATGACATAATATCGGCTGAAATACCTGACAAACAACAAGATCCTATACTTCATAATATCGTCATAAAAAATATGATACATGGTCCTTGCGGATTTCATAATCCTGCGTCACCATGTATGAAAGAAAACATTTGTTCAAAAAAGTACCCTAGATCTTTTATTTCTGAAACACAAACCGGTGATGACGGTTACCCAACCTACAGGCGCAGATCTCCAAATAATGGTGGAAACACAGGAATTGTTCGTGTCAGAGGAACAGAAATTAGCGTGGATAATAGGTGGGTTGTTCCTTATAATCCAGTACTTTCACGAATTTTCAATGCACACATAAACGTAGAATTTTGTCAATCGGTCAAAGCTATTAAGTATATATGTAAATATATTCATAAAGGTTCTGATCAAGCCACATTTTCTTTGCAAAATAGTAACAATGAAGTAGAAAAATATCTAAATGGTCGCTATATTAGTTCTTCAGAGGCTTTTTGGAGAATTTTCCAATTTCCTATTCATGAACGTTTCCCAGCTATAGTTCATTTGGCAGTTCATTTGGAAAACGGACAAAGAATTTATTTTAATAATGAAAATCTCCAAGATCGGGTCAACAATCCTCCTTCGACAACGCTTACAGCGTTTTTCGATCTGTGCAAAAAGGATGAATTTGCAAAAACTCTTTTATATCGAGAAGTGCCTCAATATTACACATGGGAAAGAAACAAATTTTTCAGAAGGAAGCGTGGGCAAGACGTTGATGGATTCCCAGGTGTAAAAAAAGATACAGCTTTAGGCCGTGTATACAATGCCCATCCGACTCAAACTGAGTGCTATTATTTGAGAATATTATTGCAACATGTTCGGGGTCCTACGTCATTTGAAGATCTTAGGACCGTTAATGGTATTATTTTACTGTCTGTAAAATAATACCATTATGTCTTATCAAGGCACCTGCAAGAGATTGGGTTTACTGGAAGGAGATCAACATTGGGAAAATACTTTGTCAGATGCTGTTGTATCAGAGACAGCCACAAAGTTAAGAGAATTATTTACGATCATCCTCATATTTTGTCAGCCATCTGACCCCTTCGAGCTGTGGAGTAAATTTCGTAATGATTTGTGTGAAGATATATTAAACAGAATTCGTAATGACAATCAGGATATTACATTAGAATATAATGATGATATATACAATGAAGGACTTATAATTATTGAAGATAAGATTCATGAGATGTGTGATAAATCTTTAACTGATTTTGGACTTCCAGCATCGAATAGGAATAATTCAAATAGTAATATGGATGCGTTGGAAGCAGCTTTGCGGAAACCATATGATTTAAATAAATCAAGTGAATATATATCTGAAAATGAACCTAAATTAGTGAATGACCAGCTTAAGGCGTACAATTGTGTTTTGAACAGTGTTCGTGTTAATGAAGGAAAGATATTCTTTTTGGATGCCCCAGGTGGAACCGGCAAGACTTTCGTTACTAATTTGATATTAGCAAAAGTTAGGTCTCAGGGAAAACTAGCTTTGGCCGTTGCGTCTTCGGGTATCGCTGCGACTTTATTAGCAGGTGGACGCACCGCTCATTCAACTTTTAAACTGCCTCTTACTGTTTCTTTGCATAAAGATAGCGTGTGCTCTATCCGTAAAAATGGCCCTTTAGGAAAAATTTTGCAAGATGTCAGTTTAATAATATGGGATGAATGTACCATGATTCATAGAGCTCATGTAGAGGCATTAGATAGGACTCTTAGAGACATTAGAAGCTCTAACAAAGTCATGGGTGGAATCACTGTCATGTTTGCTGGTGATTTTCGACAAACGTTACCGGTGATAGTTAGAGGAACTAGAGCTGACATTGTGAAGTCTTGCTTAAAAACTTCCCCGATGTGGAAGTTCGTTCATACTCTAAAACTATCCACTAATATGAGAGCACATTTGGGTGGAGGCAGTACAAATTTTCCTTCAAAGTTACTTTTGATAGGAGACGGGAAAATACCTCATTTTGAAAACAAAATTGAAATTGATCACGATTTAGGTGAAAAAGTTACCAGCATTGAAGATCTAATCTCAAAGGTCTACCCTGATGTAGACCAAATAGAAAACAAAGACTATCAGTGGATGTGTCAAAGGGCAATATTAGCGGCTAGAAATAGTAGTGTTGACGAAATTAATGACATAATATTGCGTAAACTTCCAGGAAATAAGGTAAACTACATTTCCATTGATAATGTTATGGATCAAGAAGATGCTGTACATTACCCACAAGAATTTCTCAATTCTCTAAATCCGAGTGGCCTTCCACCAGATTCTCTCAAATTAAAAACTGGTACTCCAATTATTTTGCTAAGAAACCTTAAACCACCAAATTTATGTAACGGAACCAGACTCCAAGTAAAACTTCTGCGCAACAATGTAATCATTGCTATAGTTTTGACTGGTCCAGCAGTTGGTCAAACGGTGCTAATACCTCGCATCCCTATGATTCCGAATGATTTGCCTTTTAACTTTAAAAGAATTCAGTTTCCCGTAAAAGTATCGTTTGCTGTAACAATCAATAAAGCACAGGGACAAACATTTAAGCACGTAGGAATAGATTTACGACAAGACTGTTTTACACATGGACAACTATATGTTGCATTATCAATATCAGGCTGCGAAGAAAATCAATATGTTCTTCTACCTCAAGAAAATAAAACTAAAAATATCGTGTACACAGAAGTACTTTAAAATATCTCCTAATAAAAATATTACTAATTATATAAATATCTACATATTATTATTAGATACCCACATTTTATGGCATCCCAGCGTTCCTTTATTATTCCTGTTCCCGTGATATATTTTTATTATAGTTCCACTCTTACTGATCATAGCGTATGTACCTAAAATGGCTTCTAAAATTAGATGATTGACTATGTAATAATCTTAAGTAAAATTCTTGAAGTAATGGAATATATTTTATTGGCTTCTTCCATAAATTAACGCGGGTGAAACCAAAGAGATTTATATCATTTTTATAACATTTCTCTGTCTGTCGTTTGTCTGTGTGTTTGTATACGCATCAAACCAAAACTACTGAATTAAGTTCAAAGGATTGGTAAAATATCCATAGTCCGTATCTTGACTTAACATTCTTATATGGTCTTTACATGAATAAAATCGATCAACTTTATCAAAAGTCATTAATTAGGCTTTTAAGTCAGAGAGTAATTTTTTAACATCGTATTATTTTAATACAGCGCTTCACACTAAAAAACTCATTGTTAAGTTCCGTCATCCACGCGAACGAAGTCGCGGGCATAGCTAGTAATAAATATTCGTGGATGTGCGATTGTGAAAAAAATAATAAATTGTTTTGTGTGTCTCTTCAGTAATGAGTTAAAACCATCGCCCTGGATTAATACTGACTGGATGATCTATGACACGAAAGTATGTGGACAAATACATTTTTACTTTTATTGAATGTATTTTTGTATTTATTTCCGTCACACAATTTCGTCTATTAACTGATAATAACAACCTTTTTATATGTTCACATTTAACTCATCAATCAAATTGTGTCCCCCCATTTCAAAAGGTCACGAGCCGCTACTGAAATATCTAACTTCTCATTTTTTTTAAGCAAATTCCTTGAAATGTCAGAACGTGGACGCTGTACTCAGTTGTTTCCTTTTCCAAAGTAGAATCGTTTTTATATACCACAATTTCGTTTCTAGCTCTAATTTGAGCCTTTTCTTGGCATTTCCCAGACAGTAAGGTGGATACGTTTTATTAATGATTATTTATGAATTAAAGAAGAGATTTTTTTTATTTATCTAAATGTTGCTATGACAAATTTGTTCAATTTAATTATTTTTAAAAACTTTCTAAACTGATGTTATTTGATAACTCTGGTGGTGTATCTTATTTATAGTTCGAGTTGAGTTCTATTTTTAAATTTCATAGTTTATTTATTTAGAAGATTATAAGACAAATTTTGTTAAGAGATTAATATTGCTTTGCAGATCGTAAAATAAGAATTAAAAAACATTCATCACCCAAAATTTTTTAATGAATACGTCGTGTGTAACGGTGTTCCGTGTAAATAAATAATGTGATTTTTGTTATTTATGTTTATTTCAAGAATTTATCGTAAAAATCGGTGACATCATCTTTGATAAAAAGTGAAACACATAAGAAATAATTGGTCATTTTTCATTCTTTCATCCTTTTATTTTCATTAACCGTTAATGTCTCTTCCCAGTCAAAAAAAGCATTGTTTTCTATTAATCCGTTTTTTATTTTTTCTAAAATAAGGATAACCAGTCATCAAGTCTTGCAGATTTTAAAACACATACCATGTAAATGTACTACAGCTTCTTCTGATCCACCATAATCTTTAGGCAGACATTCTAATGGTACAAATTTTATCAAAGTATTAAAAGTCCGGTGAATGTGTAACTGCAATATACTAATTACTATTAACGAAATTTTAAGGTGAGATCTTACAGCGTCTATTATTTCTTTTTTCAAGAACGGTTTTATTAGAGACAAAATCTTGTCCATGAATGCTATGAGATTGAAAAAATGTATTCCCTTTAATCTAACAGGCATTGCATCTTGTAAATAATACAAGAAATTTTTCACTAACGCAGGTCTTAGTTTCAAAATGTGACTAAAAGTTACTTCCTTCATATCGACTAAAATTAAATAACCATCCGAAGGTCCTTCTTGGTACAAATGTAACATGCAAACCATATTGATGTATTTCAGCTCATCCAAAAGATTAAAATGATTGGAGTTACTGTTTACAAATTTTACAAAGATAATACTATAGCCTTCTGGTGTCTTTTTTGAGAAAACGGTAACAAAGCTAAAATTTCAAAAATTATTGTTTGAATCTTAAATTAGTTGCAAAGTGTCACCTGTGATCCATAATTTTTTGCATTGAAGTTGATGAAGGATTCCTGTTTGTGAACATATCAGAGCGTAGTGTTTTAAAAGTGAAAAAATTGTCAATTGTGGTTTTGGCTAGTTCTTGTTGATAGTAGCAGCTGTGCAGGAAAAGAATTGTTTGCAATTCTACAAATGTTAAAAACGTGATTTAATGAAGAGGACTGGTTGTGAATACTCACCATTGATTTTTGGAAGGTGTTGTTTTGTATTAGCCCATTCCAACAAAGAATCAACATCTTCCTTTTTTAGACATTTGTTTTTATCATATAAAACTTTAACGTTGATCAATGGAGAGGTCATTTTTATACTGCTGCTTTATTTTATAAAATGCAATTGCGTTTCCTTACACACTATCTCTCTGATAAGTAGCGTATTACTGATTAAATGAAGTGGTTGTTTATGGTTCAGTGCAAATCAGCTTCGAAAATTAAATGATCAAATTCATTAATTGCAAACGAGCGATTGTTTGCTTACAGGTTTTCTCGACTTTTGATGACCCTCAGGGTAAGAAAAAATAGATTTCCCATTTCCGTTTGTCTGTATGTTGTTTGTTTTCGTAACTACCGGACCAATTGCTAAATTTTTTTGTGTATGTTAAGAATATCATGTATATGGTAAAACGTTAACTAAAATTTGACCAATCATCTCCACTAATGAAATGACGAATTTAACAGCGATAAATGATATTTAAATTTTGTAAAATAACATGCTTCTGTATTTGTGATTTATGATGGAATTTTCATCTTAGAGATCTAGATTAAACTAAAAATCATATCATACTTGAAATTGCAAAACCGAAAACTCTAAAGTCTTGCAAACATTAAATCGTTAATCAAAATAGATCCAAGAATTTTACAAGTTGTAGTGAGGCATAACATTGTGTTATCTCATAGTCTTGTAATGTTTGAAGTGATCATCATGAAACGCAGCTAAGAAGTATTCCGATTAAACCAGCTTTCAAACCAAAAAAGCACTATTAAGATAGGTTCATTCGTTTGGGAGCTACGATGACACAGACAGACAGACAGATAGACCGATAAAGGCTTCAAACTATAAAATTGCACAACAATCAAGAGCATCATTCTGTCTAATAAAGTCGCCAACAGATTAGAGGCAGACGACAGACACGACACACGAGAGTAGACAGACGGAAATGGGTGATCTATTTTTTCACAATCTAGGGATTGTGAAATATCGAGAAAACATTAATTTACCTGTTTATCGGATAGACGTTGTTTTGATGCTTTTTAAGTCTAATGTTATCACATGTTTCTTTATGAATACTTTAATAATTCACTCATTCTTAGCTTTATACAGTGAAGGTTTGTGGCTCTAGAATTATTTTCAGTAAACTGAAGAGATTATTTTTGTATCCAATAATTTTTTTTAATTCTGTGATGGACGTCACTGGAAATTTAACATTTATAGAGAACTCGGTAATGATTGGCCATTCAGAATCAGACTTGCGAAATGTTACCAGTTTGAATATTCTCTTGGTTTTGATGGAAGAATCGTTAGAAAAAATATAAGAAATGTTGTAACATTACGTTTTTACATGGAGTGTCGTAAAATACGTTTTGACTGTAATAAATTTGATAGTTTATTTATTTTGAAGATTACACAATGAACTTTTTACAAATATTCTTAAGAGACTAAGTTTACGATAGAGATTATAAAATAAGAAATAAAATGCACTTATCTTCCGGAGAATTGATGGCATCTTCTGTATTCATAATGTGATACAAATTGTGTTATTTATGTTTATTTGAAAAACTATGGTGAAAAATGTTATTTATTATTATTAATCAATTTCTAATTTTTTGAAAGTGCCATCAATTCCAAAGAAATCGTTCATTTTCGATTCTTTCATCCTTTTGCTTTCATCAACTCTTAATGTCTCTTCCCAGTCAAAAACAGCATTGTTTTCGATTAATTTGTTTCTTATGTTTTCTAAAATAAAGTTAATGAGTATAAGTAATGCAGACTTAAAAAATACATACCATGCAAATGTGCTGCAGTTTCTTCTGATCCACCATAATCTACGGGCAAACATTCCAATGGAACAAATTTTGTTAAAGCATCAATTGTCTCGTGAACGTATAACTGCAACATAGTCATTATTAATAAAACTTGTACAAGGTTAATGGTAATGTTACAGCATCCAAAATTTCATTTTTCAAAAATGGTTTTACTAGAGCTAAAATTTTGTCCATGAATGGCACGGGATTGAAAAAATGAATTCCCTTTAATCTAATAGGCATTGCCTCCTGTAAATAATAAACGAAATGTTTCGCTAAGAGAGGTCTCATTTTCAAAACGTGACCAAAAGTCATTTCATTCAAATCGACTAAAATTAAATAACCATTCGGAGGTCCTTCTTGATACAAATGTAACATGCAAACCATATTGATGTATTTGAGTGCATCCAGAAGATTAAAATTATCGGAGTTACTCTCTACACATTTTATAAAAATAACGCTGTAGCCTTCTGGTGTCTTTTTTGATAAAATGGTAACAAGGCTAAAATTTCAAAAATTATTATTTAGGCCTTAAGTTAGTTGTGTAGCGTCACCTATGTTCCAGAATCTTTTGCATCGAAGTTGATGGATTTCTGTTTGTGAAGATATCAGAGCATAGTGTTTTAAAAGTGAAAAAATTGTCAATTGTGGTTTTGGCTAGTTCTTGTCGGTAGTAGCAACTATGAAGGAAAAGAATTGCTTGCACCTCTACAAAAGCTAAAGACGTGATTTAATGACGAATAGTGGTTGTGAATACTCACCATTGATTTTAGGAAGATGTTGTTGTTTATTAGCCCATTCCAACAAATAGTCAACATCTTCCTTTTTTAGACATTTGTCTTTGTCATATAAAACTTTAACGTTGATTAATGTAGAAGTCATTTTTATACTGTTTTTCCATTTTATAAAAATTCTTGTATTTCCCTATTATTAGATCTTATCTTTCTGATGAGTAGTCTGTCTGTTAAAGATTAGATAAAGTAGAGGTAGTTGTTTATGGTTCAGTATGTAATGTGCAAATCAGCTCTCGTTCACTGGTTCATTCCAGATTTATTATTTTAAAGCTCGGAAAATGATCAAGATATGTGCATTTAACAGATATGCACTAAATTTGCTTTAAGTATACATCGATATATGAAAAATATTCATAAAAATTTGTAAAGTAGCAAAATGTACCAAATATAGAAACTAATAACTTTCACCAAATTACTATCAAATAAAACTTATAAGAATAATTAACATTGTTTATTGACATATTGTATACATCTTCAGAAATAGGCGATCTATTTTTTCACAATCTAGGGGTCGTGAAATATACAGAAACCATTATTTTACCTGCTTGTCGGATTATTATGATACTTCCCTAGCTTATTTCTGGAAAAAGTTTAATAAAAATACATTATTTTTAAATTTCATTTTGATGATTCTTTATGTGTGATTTAACAATCCACTCTTTCTTAGAGTCTCCGCAGTAGAAGTTTGTGTGGTTCTAGAATTTGACAGGAATTTGAGAAGTCTATTTTTGTATGCAATAAAAATGTTTAAGTCTGTGACGGACTCATTGGAAGTCTAATATTTCCAGAGAACTCGGTAATCATTAGCCATTCAGAAACAAACTCGCAAAATGTTAAGTACCAGTTTGAATATTATCTTGGCCTTGGTGGAGGAATCGTTAGAAAAAACATACAAAATGCTAAAAGTAAGATCACTATATAGGATAAAACAAAGTCTATCTGTCTGTCTGTCTGTCTGTCTGTCTGAATGCGATAATCTCACAAAGTGCTATACGGATTTTCGTGTGGTTTTTGTTGTGATTGTCGAGTAATTAGTGGGAAAAAATCATGCCATCTGAAAGCTTGACTGGCATGCTTAAACCGTTAGAATATCGGGAGTTGGATATTTGTTTTTTATTTCACTGTGTTGTCTGCCGTGCATTATTATGAGATAGATCTCTTAAAAATGTGTTCTGTAAATAGGTTTTATTATATAATTGAATTTTAGAAGTTAATTGACTTATAGGATTGGACTGTATAGAGAGTGTTTGTAATATTTCCAGTAATATGTATTCAAATAAGTTAAATGATACGGATATACAACTTCATTAGGGAGGCCAAATGAAAGATTTGGGCATAGAAAAACAGGAACTTGTAATATTAAAAAAAAGAGTAAAACAATAAAGTTCTTAAAACCCGTAGTCAGCAATAACTTACAACTTATAAATGTGACATAAATAAATCGACTTATATCAAAATGTTTATCTTCCAGAGAATTGATGACATCTGCTTGTGTGTTCATAATCTGCTACAATTTTTGTTATTTAATTATTTAATTGTGGGAACCGTAGAAACCAACAAAAAACCTTTTAAAATGTTATTAATCAATTTCTAATTTTTTAAAACTGCCATCAATTCCAAAGAAATCGTTCATTTTCGATTCTTTCATCCTTTTGCTTTCATCAACTGTTAATGTCTCTTCCCAGTCAAAAACAGCAGTATTTTCAATTAATTTGTTTCTTATTTTTTCTAAAATAAAGTTAATGCGTATAAGTAGTGCAAACTTAAAAAATACATACTATGCAAATGTGCTGCAGTTTCTTCTGATCCACCATAATCTACAGGCAAACATTCCAATGGTACAAATTTTGTTAAAGCATCAATTGTCTCGTGAACGTATAACTGCAACATAGTCATTATTAATGAAACTTCTACAAGGTTAATTGAAAATATTACAGTGTCCAACATTTCTTTTTTCAAAAATGGTTTTACTAGAGACAAAAATGTGTCCATGAATGGCACGGGATTGAAAAAATGAATTCCCTTTAATCTAACAGGCATTGCCTCTTGTAAATAATAAAAGAAATTTTTCGTCAAGAGAGGTCTTATTTTCACAACGTGACCAAAACTCATTTCCTTCAAATCGACTAAAATTAAATAACCATCCGAAGGTCCTTCTTGGTACAAATGTAACATGCAAACCATATTGATATATTTGAGTTCATCCAAAAGATTAAAATTATCGGAGTTACTGTCTACAAATTTTATAAAAATAATGCTGCAGTCCTCTGGTGTCTTCTTTGGAAAGATGGTAACAAGGCTAAAATTTCAAAAATGATTGTTTAGGCCTTAAGTTAGTTGTATAGTGTTACCTATGTTCCAGAATTTTGTGCATCGAAGTTGATGGATTCCTGTTTGTGAACATATCAGAGCATAGTGTTTTAAAAGTGAAAAAATTGTCAATTGTGGTTTTGGCTAGTTCTTGTCGGTAGTAGCAACTATGAAGAAAAAGAATTGCTTGCAATTCTACAAAGGTTACAGACGTGGTTTAATAAAAAGGAGTGGTTGTGAATACTCACCATTGATTTTAGGAAGATGTTGTTGTTTATTAGTCCATTCCAACAAATAGTCAACATCTTCCTTTTTTAGACATTTGTCTTTGTCATATTAAACTTTAACGTTGATTAATGTAGAAGTCATTTTTATACTGCTGTTCTATTTTGTAAAAACTCTTGTGATTCTTTAGACATTATCTTTCTGATAAGTAGTGTGTTACAGATTAGATGAGTAGCGATAGTTGTTTATGGTTCAGTGTGCAATGTGCAAATAAGTTTTCAAGATTAAATGAAAAAACTTGTTCATTGCAAATTTATTATTTTAAAACTCGGATGCATCGAAAAATGATCAAAATTTGCGCATATATATATACTAAATTTGACCTAAATGTACATCGATATATGAAAAATATTCATAAAAATATTTAAAATAGTAAAATCTGTCAAATATAGACACTAATAACATTCACTAAATTCCTATCAATTAAAAATTTTATAAAACTTAATAATCCACTATTTCTTTGAGTTTGTGCAGTAGAAGTTTATGGCTCCAGAATTTTACAGTAATCTAAGAAGGTAGTCTTTGTATCCAATAAAAAATTTTAGGTCTGTGACGGACGTTATTGGAAGTCTAACATTTGCAGGGAACTCACTGACCACTCAAAATCAGACTTGCGCAATGTTACCAGTTTGAATATTCTCTTGGCTTTGGTGGAGGAATAGTTAGAGAAAACATAAGAAATGTTAAAAGTAAGCTCACTATGTAGTACAAAACAAAGTCTCTATTATTCGCGTCTGTATCCAAGATGAACATTCCCGATGATTGAAGATAGGACAAAATAGGACTAGAACATAGTGCATCTTTCAGTCTTTTAACTGCTGCCTCACATTCAACAGTTCAAGAAAAATTGTTAAAAGTAACATTTTTGGCAATTTTTTAACAAACTGTTTGAAGCTACAAACACTAGAACGTGGAAACTATAGTCAGTCGTCTCCTTTTTCAGAAAGTCCACAAGTGCGTCTAGGTAATCGATTACTCAGAACAGGTTGTCATATGGCTCACACTGGTGAAATATGACAAAAAAAAGGCATTAAATTTAATTTCAAACTAAAATTTCTTTGCTGATATTTTTCAGATAATTTTTAACTTTACCTTAAGACTTGCTAAATTAATCTTCTTATCTGCAGTGTTAACTTTCTTACCTGTGACTTAATCGTCGAATTCTGTCTTTAATTTTACGCGCAAGGAGTGTCGCAAGATATGTTTTGATAACAAACTTGTTAGTTTATTTATTTTGAAAACTACACAATGAAATTCTTACACATATTGTTAACAGACCTATAGATTACATTAGAGATTATAAAATACTTCTAGGAAATAAAATACGTTTACCTTCCGGAGAATTGATGACATCTTCTGTGTTCATAACATGATGCAATTTTTGTTATTTACCTAAGTAATTGTTTATTTTTTAATATGAAAAACTTCTAGTAAAAAGTGGTGACATCATCTTTAATAAACAATGAGAACCGTAGAAACCAAGAAAAATCTTTTTAATTGTTATTAATTATTAATCAATTTCTAATTTTTTAAAACTGCCATCAATTCCAAAGAAATCGTTTATTTTTGATTCTTTCATCCTTTTGCTTTCGTTAACCGTTAATGTCTCTTCCCAGTCAAAAACAGCAATATTTTCAGTTAATCTGTTTCTTATTTTTTCTAAAATAAAGTTAACGAGTATAAGTGGTGCAGAGTTAAAAAATACATACCATGCAGATGTGCTATAGTTTCTTCTGATCCACCATAATCTACAGGCAGACATTCTTGTGGTGCAAACTTTGTTAAATCATTAAATGTCTCGTGAACATGTAACTACAACATAGTCATTATGAATAAAACTTCTACAGGTTTAGTGGAAATATTACAGCATCCAATATTTCTTTTTTCAAAAATGGCTTTATTAGAGCCAAAATTTTGTCCATGAATGGTACGGGATTGAAAAAATGTATTCCCTTTAATCTAACAGGCATTGCCTCTTGTAAATAATAAAAGAAATGTTTCGCTAAGAGCGGTCTTAGTTTCAAAACGTGACCAAAAGTCATTTCCTTTAAATCAACTAAAATTAGATAACCATTTGACGGTCCTTCCTGGTACAAATGTAACATGCAAACCATGTTGACGTATCGGAGTTGATCCAAAAGATTAAAGTTATCGGAGTTGCTGTTTACAAATTTTATAAAGATAATGCTGTAGCCTTCTGGCGTCTTTTTTGATAATACAGTAACGAAGCTAAAATTTCTAAAATTATTATTTAGCTCTTAAATTAGTTGTGAAATGCCACCTAAGTCCCATAATTATTTGCATCGAATTTGATGAAGCATCCCTGTTTGTGAACATATCAGGGCATAGTGTTTTAAAAGTAAAAAAAGTGTCAACTGTAGTTTTGGTAAATTCTTGTCGGTAGTAGCAGCTGTGAAGGAAAAGAATTGCTTGCAATTCTACAAATGTTAAAAACGTGATTTAATGAATTGTTGTGAACTGGTTGTGAGTACTCACCATTTATTTTAGGAAGATGTTGTTGTTTACTAGCCCATTCTAACAAATTGTCAACATCTTCTTTTTTTAAACATTTGTCTTTATCATATAAAATTTTAACGTCGATTAATGCAGAGGTCATTTTTATACTGGTGCTCTCTGTGATAAAATACGATTGTGTTTTCTTCGACACTATTTTTCTGATACGTAGCGTGTTACTAAAATAGCAATAATTGTTTATGGTTCAGCGTGCAACATGCAAATCAGCTTTGGTAATTAAATGAACAAACTCATTAAGTTGCAAACTGGTATTTATTACACAGGGTGATTATCAAATATCATACATCCAGATCGATTTGAAAAATCTGTCACTTTTACATTTTCCATCAGGTAGGTAGCAAAATTTACCATACGATTTGAATTATTGGTTGTATACAGTAAACACTGAAAAACTTTAATTAAGTTAGGCTATGCATTATGATTGGGCATTTGGAAGAGGCGTCGATGAATCGAAGTCCCTAACTTATATAGGGACTTAGACGCTAAATAATCATCAAGAAATTTCGAAGTTGACTGGATGTACATTCTTATACCACGTTGTATTATATGTTTATTTTAATATCAGTCTATTCATGAAATTATACATCGAGTATTTGATACACAAAAAATTGTTTTTCTTTATTATTACTCGATTATTTATAAAATTTATAAAAATAATAGAATACATAGAATAATATTCGTTATCATTTTTTTTACTTTTGTTTTTCTGCAACATTTAACGAAGTTTTTCTTTTTGTATTTTTATAATACTTCCCGACCGTTAGCTGAGGATGAATGATAACTTGTTTTGTCATGTTTTCTCGACATTCATGAGTCCTACAGCAAGAAAACGTAAGTCTTCCGTTTCCGTCTGTCTGTCGTCTGTCTGCCTACGTCTGTTTTATGAGACAGATAATCTCTATGTATGGAGTCAGCAGCAGAAATACAAAGTTTGAGTGAAGAAAAATTGCTTTTAGAGTTTGTTGTGATTGATTATGTTCTTACTTTAGTTCCTAAAAGAGGTCTTTACTGCTATAACAACCAATGAGCGATTTTCGCATGGGTAAACTTGAGTAGAATGTTTTCTTTAAATAAGACACAAAAACAGGTAAAATGACACATATATGTATATTTGTGCCCACAGATTTCTCAAGCGAAGCTACAAAACAGTTGAAAACAAAACTAATTCAGCAGCTGTCAAGTTGTTTATCTTACGAATGATCTTACATTTTAAAGCAAATGGACATTATTAATTGCACTATTAAAGCAGTGATTAAATCACAATCTAATCCAACTCCAACTTCTTGAAAGTGCCCTCAACTCCAAAGTAGTCACTAACATTCTTCGGTTTTCCTTGCCGTCTACTTTCATCAACACTATGTTTATCTTCCCATTCAAAAAATGGAACATTTTGCATTAAGTTGCTTTTGACTTTTTCTAAAAATGCGTTACTATTTATATTAGGTACATCACTTAAATTTCATACCTACCATGTAAAACATTCAGGGGCTCAACGGAACCTCCATAATCTTGAGGTAGGCAATCCTTGGGAACAAATTTAGTCATGTCATCTGCAGTATTATGCAAATAAAGCTAAAAAGGACATTTCATCAGTTAACCTCAGCAGACTTTCGAAGATATCTAATTTACCATGTCCATAAGTTCCTTTTTCATGAAGGGCTTCATCAGAGCGAGAATTTTATCCATAAATGGCACGATGTTGAAGTAATGTAAACCTTTTAGTCTTAGAGGCATCGCTTCTTGTAAGTAGTACAAGAACTTCTTCATCGTAAGAGGCCCAAGTTTGGTAAGATGACCAAAAACGACACCCTTCATGTCCAAAACGATCAGATGCCCTTTGGAAGTACCTTGTTGGTGCAGGTACTGCATGCAAACCATATCAAAGTATTTAAGTTGCATAGCAAAATTATAGTTGTCTGGATTGGAGTCCATCAGCTTCATAAAAATGATGCTATAGCCATCTGGCGTCAGTTTTGGGAGAACTGAGAACAATCTGTAATTTTCAAAATAAAGATGAGGAAGATCGCGGAGGTCCTTATTTGACTTACGTAACATCTAGACCTTCTTTCAGAGGAGAGTTCTTTGGATTCCTCTCGAAAAACAAGTCGGGGCAGAGAGTCCTGACTGTAAAATACGTGTCAATCGCAGCCTTGGCAGCCTCATTTCGGAAGTAGCAACTTTGCAGGAACAGAATTGCTTGAACCTCTGTGGAACCAGTTAAGATTGAACTTTCACAAAAATTAGAACTTACCGTTAATTTCTGGCAGATGCGGCTGCTTGTTTACCCATTCTATGAACGCCTTCACGTCTTCCTCCTTCAAATCCTTGTCTTTAGCGTATTCGCTTTTCACGTCCACTAAATTCAGAGCCATCGCTAAACGAACTCAAACTGAATAAGTCTTGCAGAATTTATTACCATCTAACAATTGGCGGTAAGGTTATATTTAAGCAATTTGCATTCGAATACACATCATTTTACACATGCAACAGACGATTGGCTATGATTAAAACGAATGAATGTGACTTGTTCACTCAAGGTCACACGCAATAATGCCACCCCTCATGCCGCCATAACACACCCTCGGTGGGGGTAAGCGCATTGTGTTGCGATCTTGGCGGCCTTTGCCACCCCTTCAGACGCCATGTTTGCCATGACACGGACATTTTTCTAAAGTGATGATTAACGGAATTGAATAGAGAGGAAGTGCTGGGCTTAATTGTGTGTTATATTTCGTTGTGTTATATAATTTACTATTTTTCATCTGCCGACAAGGTTATGACTCTGAATGGGAGGTTTATTTTTTCTAATATAAAAAAATTAATGAATTAATGAAAAGTGTGAATTATTTTAAAATGCGTCAATGGGGCTATTGTCGCCAACAAATGGTATAAAAGTGGCGTTTGGGTGGTACTGACGCAAACACACAACGAGATGAAGCTTGTACTTTGCACTTTACTTGTAATGTGCCTAATTTTGGTAATTTTATGTACTTTGAGAATTTTTGTTAAATTTGAAAATTTTAGGTTGAGGCTAGACCTCATCACCGGGATGATCATCCGTCCTTGACGAGAGGTGGTGCTCAAAATCGGGGGGCTAACTGTCATGGCAGACATGGGGGAAGAGGCGGCGGCGGCGAAAGTAAGTATCTATGTAAATTGAAGAAATGGTACCAAGTTTGTTTATAGCTACTACAGCAGCGGCAGATACCACTACCACAGCAGCTACAACAACAGCAGCGGCTCGTTAATGAGATTATCACTATAAAAATTAATGGCTAATAAGAACATGGTGTATATGATGTAAACAAATATAGGATACTAGAGACATTTCCGTTTTTCTCTATAAAAGCCCCTCCATAGCATTTCCTTGACATACAGCAAGTATGTTTTCTGTCCCAGCTATATTTATAGTGTTAATGGGGGTGACAAGTAAATTTAGTGTCACATAACGAGAAAAACTGACAGTTCTTTTGTAGTGGGAGGTGCTACAAGTCAAACCTCACCCTCTTTCTGCTGTTAATGGAAACATGGGAAAGGACGTAGTGGGAGTGGCTAAGAATGGAGAAAAAGGTCATGTATTGGAAGTTGCTGGTAAGGGTGCCAGTTGTTTTGGGATGGGACCTAATGGCAGAGGTGGAGTTGGAGCAACAAGTGAGTGAATATTAAAATGTTGCTCAGGTAATTAATATCTACTGCACGGATTCTTTGTAATTTCAGCACCAGCGCCTGTGGAAGTATAATACACTAGGAAGAAACATGTTTTAAATGGTTTAATAAAAAATAATTACACGCATCTATTTTTTGTTTCACTGTTTGACCTTTCATGGGAATGGTCCAGGTGAATCGTGGACACTTTTAAACACAGATAACTACGTTGCTGGAATGACAGTAATATCACGCATGCACGTTTGCGTGTATTAATTAGTATAAAGTAATAATTAAATAATGCCTTTTTGGGAGAATTGATGAAATTGATGGTATATAATGTGTTGTTGCAAGACAAACAAATATGAATAATTATAGACTTGGTAACATTTCTGAGGAATAGCAAAGGAATCAAAGCGTAAAAATACAGCTTGTATAAAAGAACCAACAAAAATGCCCTAAAAATTATTGTTTTTAATAGGTATATAGTAATTGTTTTAAATTCAATGCGCAGCTGTTAATGATTAATTGATTGTGCTGTTCTGAGCTCGGTCAAAACAGGACATGATATGTACAGTGATTTGCGTTACTAACTATTATATAATCTGACACATTCCTCTTCTAAGGTTACATGGCAGTAGTAAAATAGGGTTCCGGAAGCATGATACAAACAGAATCGGGAACAATAGAAATAGGAGCGATAATTTTTCTTGTTTGTTTAGGTTTTTTATTGCATTAAATTTATAACCTTTTAAAACAACTCCAAAATTCTTTTTTTGTGTTTACTGATAGCAGATAAGAAAAACATTTAATTAAATCTGGAGCCGGATTTGTTGACCTTCAAAATTTCAACACACGCAAGTGATTTTATGGGGTATCTGATGTTAGCACTGTATATAATACAGTTATTTTAATCTTAGTAAAAATGGAAACATCAATAGGGTCAGTGCGACGTTTCACAGTTTGAAGAATACGAAAATATAGGTTTTTAGGTTTCGTTTGTCACTCGGTGCCCGTCTATAGGTGATTTTATTAGATACAATTTCCGAAAACTTATTTCGATGAAATTCTAGACGTCACTTAAAATTTTGCCAAGTAACTATTGCTTCCATTTTTATTTTGATTCCATTTTCTTTGTCCTTAATTTAATGTTCCTAATATTTAATCATGTTAACAAAACAAAATTTGTAAAATGGTCACTTTGATATATTACTTCTTATCAATAAACTTGATCTAGCGATTATTTGTTTATTCCCATTACAAATTTCATGTCTTCCAATTTAAATAAAATATATTTAAAACAGAAAACTAATGGAAAACATGTTCTCTCAACAATAATAACAAGTTTAACTCCAAGTGTTTATATTTATACATCAAAAGAATGTCACGTGCCAATCCGTTTGATTTGAATGAGTTTGTTTCCTCAAAACAGAGAACTAAAATTACACTAGTTTACAAATTTAAACTTTTTTTCGTATCCAAAAATAAAAAAAAATATTTTTTACTTCTAAATTACTTACTGATAACAAATCCAAAAACGGATAATCCTTATCACGTCAGGTTTTTTCATAAATCCAAAATAATGAACTTTGCTTTACGTTTGTGTTAAACTGATTCATGTTAATGCACAATTGTCGCATAAAAATGTCTTCGAGATCGTGGAAAGTAAGTGCCAATCAGTTTTGTTACATTTGTGGTAAAATTATAGTACCTAAAGCGGGAAGACCTGTTCAAATATGCTTAAAATGAAGGTATAACGGTTTTTGGGACGAAAATGTGTTACTGTTGGTCTATTATAAGGGAAACTGACAGTACTGCCAATAAAAGAACGTCAGTGTTAACCATTTTTAATTTTCAGTCATAATGTTTATAATATATACTGGGTATTGCTGTTATTTGATACAACCCCTGTAACTTCTTTATTCTTATAGATTAATTATAATATGTATTTCTTTGAGCTAATTTGTATCATTTTAAAAGATCTTTGTGAGGTCAACCTCACATTTTTATTATCACTTCCCGTAGATAAGTCAAAAGCAACCAATTATTCTAAAATCAATACTTGAAAAATTTTAAATAACACATTGATGACAATCTAGTAGCTTGAAAAATTGACATTTATTTACCTAAATGGTCTTTGAAAATGATACAAATTTGCTTAAAGAACTATATGTTCATATATATTTAAAAATAAAAAAGTTATAAGAGTTGTATAAAAGAAAAAAAATCCGGGGTATGTTTATATAAATATCTCAAAAACCTGACGTGATGGATTTTTTCTGCTTTCAGATTTGAATTTCCCGAACCCAAATCCTTTAGATTCAACTATTTTTGTCTTTGGATATAAAACCTTGTAAACTAGTGTTATCGAACAAAATGTTCTGAATATTATAATTCTTTTATCATTATTAAAAAATGTATAACATAGATAATACACAGTGCGAGAGAAAAAAAATTAAACGGTCGCGTGTCGATATGCAAATACGGACGTTGATATTCTATGTTAGTGGAAAAATGTTATTGTACGGTGCTAATTTTTTTGAGAAGATTTGATCGTATAGGAAAAAACTCAAAGTAGATTTGTTTACCACAAGTATAGGACTATATTATTGTGCAACATTTAATTTTTTTAAATAAACTTCTGTGAAATTACGTCATCAAATCGTTGGTGGGGATGAGTAACCAAATTTTGGTTAACATTTTACTATCTACATGATATTCCTACCATACATATATTATAAAATTTGACAACAATCGGTCCAGTAGCTTCGGAGATCACGTGTCTAGTAAAAATCGACACACAGACAGACAGACGGAAACGGGAGACCTTAGCTTACGCTCGGGAAGTAAGAAGATGCCCTGAGATGCAATAATATTTGTGTTTTAACAATACACATAGGTATATTTGTGTTTTTAAAATTGATTATAAAGAATAAATCAAGAACGACTTATCTATTCATTTTTTTTTTTCATTCTAAAATCATAAGATTGCTGTTGTTACATTGTTTATTACAATACAATTTAATTGGATAAGAGTAATTTGAAATGTGATGTAGATATAGGTGACTGCAAAGAATTTTGATTTTTTTTTACAAAAATCTAGATGGTATAAAAACACGTTGTTTAGTTGAAATAGGGTTACTTTGCAATACTTGGAGATGACCTCATCAAGTGGAGATCATCAGACAAATTTAGGTTAGTGTTTTACCATCAATACGATATTCTTAAATAAATATAAAATTTCACAACAATCAGTTCGCTAGTTTCGGAGATTATCACTCTAATAAAGTAGCTAACAGACAGATCCACAGTAAATGTAGATCTACTTTTTATTATCTGGTGGCTGTAAAAAGTCGAGAAAACATGAAAGTAGTGATTCGCCAAAAGGACCATACTGCAATGCTGCATAAGCTTACGCTCGGGAAAAATAAAATTGGATAATAATTTTACAATCAACGAGTCCGTTGGTCACTTATTGAGTAGCATAATTGCATTTTACTGAAAGCTTTTATTTTAATTAATTTGTTTCGAGCTGTTATAAATTTGTAATTATTGCCGGGGTGTAAGCAGTCTAATTGACAGTGTTATGTCACAAATTCAATTTATTTTTTTCTGCATAATGTATTTTTTACACCTATATTTTTTTTAACTAGCGAGTGATTATGAAATTGTTTTTGTTATTTATTAGCAACTGTCGGAGTGGGTAATTATTATTATTAATCCACGTGTGTAATGATTTGAAAAGAAAATTAAATGAAGATTGCCGTGAACTTACATAATTTATAATTATTAAAATATCTATACATCAGGTAATTGTTTGCTTTAAGATGCATGTTATTCCAAAGACGATTTAAAAATACAAAAAAAAAACTTACCGATTTTTCTCTGGTACACAATAATAATTATTTTTTATGCGTAAGATGTGATATTAAATTAATGAAATTATTTTATATTGTATCAAAATGATTTCAAAAGTGGTGGTGACTTTCGTGAAGTCTTAAACGTTCTGCCAACCAAATCGAATCTCGTTTTATTTGTCGCACTCAAGGTCAAGTTACAAAATGTGGTGGAAAGCCCAGTTAAGTAAAAACAATAATCTAGTCATGTTTAAGTTGGTTGTATTCAATTCCTATTAACTGTCAGTGTTGGCGTTATTTTATTCTATTTCATTATTGTTTAAATACTAGTAGTAGTAGTGCGTATTATGAAACAACTGGTATCTAAAATTCCAAATTAAGATTAATTTTTATTTATTTTACTTTATTTGGCCAAAAATCGGATATCCAGATACACTGGTTTGGAGTGACATTATTTTTTCGCACAGTTACTGTACTAAATTTCATCTCCCCAAAGTTCGAGGCTAGGCGTCACACAAAAACAATTTTTACCATAATTTTTACCATTCTTGCTTAATTGACTAATTAATTATGTGCTATAATTGTACGTATACCAGATTTCATTTCAATTATTTTAATTATTTAAAAAGTTATTCCCGACACCAATTATTTTAACAATGTTGTTATTTTCTACAAATGTTGCAGTTGATTACATTTATCTGTAACTTCACCAATTATCTTTTTATTTTACATGACCGAATTAATATTTCAATGGAATTAAAAATATGTAAGCATTTTTGCTAAGCCATGCAGTCAATTTTAAAAGTTCTATGAACATTTTTCGTTTTAAATATTTTCAAAACTTGTTATTTCTGTAACAATATTAAAAACATAAGCCATAAATGAAGTTTTAATTTTTTCTTGATTTATTAAGGCAAAAAAAAGTTTTATGGTTGCAACGCCAAAAAAGGCTCCTACAGCGAAAAAGGGATTCTTGTCAGCATTTACGTTGATAAATTTTGTAGGTTTTGCAGTTTAAAAGCCAGCCAAATATGCAAAAAGAATTTTCTTCACCTCCATGAATACTCATCTGTGCACCACTGACTTTTTCAGAAGAGTAGATATACTATAAGTGCGAACAAGGCGTGAACGGTTTTTTGTGCAAATGGATGGTTATTTTTAAAACTTTGAAAATAGCAGAGTCCATCAAGGAAGAAAAAAAACAACTTAATGTCAGTGTAACGTGAATTTTCGTCCATAAAGTCTCATTTATATATTAAAGCTCGTGAGTGCTAGACTAACATCATTGGAAGGCAATTTATTATATTTTCAGGTATTTTTTTCGCTGGAACTGACTTCAATAAAGTTTCAGCAGTGCTTGAAAAAAAATTATCAGCTTGAAACCACTTTTTTCTAATTATGTTTAAATTATTCCAGATTTCATAATTTGTGTGGAATTCCATTTTAAAATTAGTTGGTATTCGCCTGTACCTTCTTCTCTTTCCTTCTTTTTTGTAATAAATTAAATTAATGAATTGACTTACGGAAACGTATAGGTTCAAAATTAAATCATTTGTAACGTACCGACCACCTTTTTAGCTTTTTTACCGAGAAATATTATAAACTATTATATCGTTAATGACGCCGATAAAATTTTTAAATGATACTTACTTCATTATGTAAATTACAATCATTAACGAAACATAAATGAACAGCTTCGATACATTTTTATAAATGAAACTACATACCACTTTTTTAAAGTGACCAAGGCGATAAAATTTTTATCGGGCACGTTTATGTCACAGGTAATATCAGTATCATTTGAAAGGTAAATCATGCAAATACCGTCACGATCAGGTAATAACGGGTTGTGGTAACGAGCGAAAATTTATTTTTAGGAACATTTATCAATAAATATATCGTAAAAACCGTGTAAAATAACCTAAACGACATAAAAACACTGTTTTTATCATTTGCATTCAATTTGATATTAAAATCACCTATTATATGCTACAATAATATCTTTTTAACTGCATTCTTGCGTAGTTTGTTGAAGTTGTTAATGGAAACATCAAAATTATCTGTAGGAACCAGTCAGATATAAAATACCTGAAAGCTGTACAAAAAAATTAACAACAACAACTGCGTGATATAGTTCTTCGCAGAGTTATGATGCGGATATCCCAAATTGTAGACTCATGAATAAATATTCTCACATCCTATGAGACCGTTCACTTCTGCAGTACCTTGCACCAGAATCGTAATTATCTAAATGAATTGCCTCATTTAAATACAAGATTTCAGTGGATCTTGCATCGTGCCAAAAAGATAAATGTTAATAGAGTTTAAAATCAGTAAACTGTATGTTTAAATGAAAAGCATCAGCAGGTCTTTCATGACCATATTTTAACTCAGCTCTCTGAAACTGTGGTGTCGCCGGTAATGAGAGTTCTATGATAATTAGAACAGGCAAAACCTGAAAGAACTTTTTAATTTTTACTTCCCGAGCGTAAGCAAAGGAAGTATTGTAATCGAGTCCGTCGGCCGACTCTCTACTTTTACGTTTTCTCGATCTTTCATGACCCCTAGAAGACGAAGAAATAGGTCTCCCATTTCCGTCTGTCTGTCCGTCTGTCCGTCTGTCCGTCTGTCCGTCCGTCTGTCCGTCTGTTGTCCCGGATTTTATTAGACAGATAATCTCCGAAAGTACTCGACCGATTGTTGTGAAATTTTGTACTTATATTAAGAATATCATGTAGATGGTAAAACGCCAACCAAAATTTGTCTAATCATCCCCACCACTAATGCGATGACGTCACTTCAAAAATTGTACATAGTAAATGGGTTTTCAATTGTATAAAATAACATAGTCTTACACATGTAGTTTACAACTCTGAATCGACTTTTCACCCGAAACGTCCAGATTTTTGGAAAAAAAATCAAAATTATAAAACAACATTTTGAAATTTAATTTTTAATCTGCTAACCAGAATGCTTTGAAATGTTGCAGATGTTTTAAGGCTATAAAGAGCATCATAAATCTTTAGTCAAAAAATATTTGCTTATCCCCTCCAAAAACTTGATGACGTCAGCTCAAAAGTTTGTGGAATAAATCATATCTAAAATGTACAAAATATGATGAGTCTGTACTTGTGATCTATCACTCCATTCATATTTTTTGGATTTGCATATACAGGGTGACTCAAAAAAATTAATGAATGCGTAAATATATTTTATTGATTTAATCAGGAACTACAAAACCGAATGCTCTGAAATCTTGCAGATGTTTTAAGGTCATAAAGAGCATAATAAATGTTTAGTCAAAATATATTTGCTTATCCCCTCCAAAAAGTTGATGACGTCAGCTCGAAAGTTTGCCGAATAAATCATATCTAAAATGTACAAAATATGATCAGTCTGTACTTGTGATCTATCACTCCATTCATATTTTTTAGATTTGCATATACAGCGTGATTCAAGAAAATAAATGAAAGCGTAAATTTATTTTACTGATTTACTCAGGAACTACAAAACCGAATGCTTCGAAATCTTGAAGATATTTTAAAATTATCATAAGCATGGTAAATTTTTGATCAAAACGTATTTGGTCGTCCCCCCTAAAAAATTTATGATGTCACCACAAAATTTTGCTGAAAAAATCCTATCTAAAATGTACAAAATATGGTGAGTCTCTTCTTGTGATTTATCATTCCATTCAAATTTTTTCGATTTGCATATACAGGGTGACTCAAAAAAATTAATGAATACGTAAATTTATTTTATTGATTTAATCAGGAACTACAAAACCGAATGCTTTGAAATCTTGCAGATGTTTTAAGGTTATAAAGAGCATAATAAATTTTTAGTCAAAATATATTTGGTTATCTTCTACAAAAAACTGATGACGTCAGCTCAAAAGTTTGCCGAATAAATCGTATCTAAAATGTACAAAATATGATGAGTCTGTACTTGTGATTTATCATTCCATTCATATTTTTGGATTTGCATATGCAGGGTGACTCAAAAAAATTAATGAAGGCGTGAATTTATTTTATCGATTTAATCAGGAATTACAAAACCGAATGCTTTGAAATCTTGGGAATATTTTAAAGTTATTATAAGCATGGTAAACTTTTGTTCAAAATGTATTTGTTCATCCCTCCTAAAAAAATTGATGACGTCACCCTTAAATTTTGCTGAATAAATCCTATCTAAAATGCAAAAAATATGATGAGTTTGTACTTGTGATTTATCATTCCATTCATATTTTTTAGATTTTCTTAAGAGGTGGTTCAAAAAAATTAATGAAGTCAATTTATTTTATTGATTAAATTAAAGGCAACACTTATTATTAGCATTACACCCCAACCAACCCAATTTGGTAGACACAAAATTTGTTAAAGGAAAAACTCGGTTGAAACATAAGGGTAGCACTCTTATTTACATCGACTTTAACATTACAGACCTGCATTTGTTTTATGCGGTCACTTGGTTCCGCGAATGCGAAATAGACATGTTTATAATCAACCAATTGTGAATTTCACCGTCAAGAATTAAAATAAAACCCAATGTTTTATATAATAAGCGGAAGTCGAAGCAATAAAACCGATGGTCGTTTTGTTTACAGTTTCTCTGTTTGACTCTCACGTATGCTGTTACGCCTGTCATCTTAAATTAAGAATGTTTATACATACACGATTTTCAGTTGCCTCTGATACGTAGGTATACGTGAGTAAATTGTTTCGTTATTTTATTGATTATTACAAATCAATATTCAAAACGACCCAATTCATTTTCCCGAAAATTTGAGAATATAATAATTTTATTCTTAGTATTACACTACATCTATCCCAACTGATATACGTGTCCTTGCAAAAATGTTGATGACGTCATCGCAATTTTTTTTTAAATTCCCACTACAAAAATGTAATGAGAAAAAAAACACAATAGGCATGCAGTCGTCAAGTTTCCGACAGCGAGGGAAGTACTGTCTAAACTCTTTAGACCAATTTTTTGGAACTGTGAGGGTGTTTTGCTTATTGAATACTTATATGGCAAAAGGGAGCACGATTAATGGTGAGGTTTATGGAGGCACGATTGAACGCTTGAA